GTAACTTCCAGTTAAGCTCTGGCTTTAGTTTTAAAAAGGTTACGTTGCATTTATCTACCTTTCTTTCTCCTTCCCATCTCTCTGCCCTTTCTCTCTTCGCCATCCCACCATGCTGAGATGACTGTGTTGTTTCTCCAAGCTTTCCCATGAGGCCTTGCCCTGTTCTCTGTTTGTTTGTGTGATCCCTTCCCTCAGGCCACTGTCCCACATCTGTGGAAGTATGTGTGTACATGTATAAATATATGTGTGCATCTGTGTGCGAGCGCGAGTGTATTCGGAGCTTTGAACAGTGTAGATGTAATATGTTTGTATGTGCGTGTGTGCGTGTGAGTGTCTGCTTGTGCGTGTGTGTTGTAATCAGAGTGTAATCCCTTCCCTGAGGCCACTGTTCCACACAGCTGGACTCAGAGAGCCTCTGGAGGGTTTCTGTGCTATTCAAGCATCCTTTGCTCTTTCCACCTGACCGGGTGGTGTGTGTGTGTGTGTCTGTGTCTGTGTGTGTATGTTTCTGTGTGTTTTAACAGGTGCAGTACCGAGAGCTGAAACTGGATCCCAATCCCAGTCCAAATAAAAGGAAGAAAAACAACCCCGGGTAGATGACTGTGTCCGCCCACCAACTCCTCTCTTCTCCACTTTTCTTCTCGTGCTCTATCACTGGACTCTGAGGAGCAGACACCGACCAGCTCGGCTGAACTATCTTTCCCATTTTGTCTCTCTTCTTTTCTTCTCTTTTACGATTTCGGATTTCTGTCTTTAATCACTCATGATGTTACGGTACAAACTCCAGAAGTGTAATTTTTGTATGAAAAATGACAAGTACAAAACATCTCGAATAATTCTTATCACCACGATGCTTTGGATTGATTTTAAAAGGATGGATAGATTGACCTTTTTCTTAGCCGTGTGAGCCTGTTTTATTATTTCCATCACGTTGACAACTCAGACTACTTTGTCTATATGCCTGCCACAAGTGTCAAAACTGAATATAACAAGTTTTAATGTTCCTAACAGACGTTCACAAAGTGTCTGTTTCTCAAAATACTCGCCTTATACTTACATCCTGAAGCATTACCGCTCTGCAGTAGACTCTTATTGTACTTACTGAATCATTTTGGTAATATGTTCATTTTTCTAATTGCTTTTGTACTGAAGTATTTCTTGTTTTCTTTCCTCATGGAAGTGGGAGTGATGTTGTGTTCACTGGCAGTAATTTGAATTGTTTTTCACTCATCTCAGCCAGCCAAGTTGATTAGCAATTACGGCGTTAGCCTGCAGATATATCCGTCTACACATAGGAAAAAACTGGACCAATAAGTTGAAGGCTTTTAGTGGTATCTGTCTGTGCTTTAACATGCGGGCAAAATGGGCTACTTCCTTGAAAGGTGTTGCCCCTGATACATCCCAAAGTTAAAAAAATAAAAGAAAACAGTGGGCAGCAGTGTGAGTGTTAAAGGGATATTCCGGCGTAAAATTAATTTAGGGTCAAACACACCGTAACACCGAGTTAGACACCTCTCGTCGAGAGATGAATGTTGCCGACAGCTTACTTCTCTAGTTATACCAACTTTAGTAATGGCCGCACGATAGCAATACACAGCTGTCTGAGGAGTCATAAACAAACCTCAACCAAAAAGCCACTCTATAGCCACAAATACTGCTCATAATGCTTCCTTGAAGTAATAATCACCATATTAATCATTTTGTACTGCAGACGTGGTAGTTCTTCTACTGTAGCGTCTTGGTCTGATTGCATTTCCATGAAGAAATTATCATGAATGTTCTTCCTTAAGCTGCGGCACCCCGCTGTAGTCCGTAATGGACTGACCCAAGGTCTTGCTACAAACAAGCGGCTGCTGAAAGAGAGGGGGTACGTTGTGTTTAGTCTCTTTGCTAAAGAAATTAGGCAAAATTGAAAATATGTTTGGTGGCTTGTGCTGTGGCTGGGACCCTCTATGTACTGTTGATGAAGTTAGGTGCTGTTCAGAGCATTATTTGTGGCTATAGAGTGGCTTTTTGGTTGAGGTTTGTTCATGGCTCCTCAGACTGCTGTGTATTGCTATCGTGCGGTCGTCACTAAAGTTTGTAAAACTAGAGAAGCAAGCGGTCGGCAACATTCATCTCTCGACGGGGTGTCTAACTCGGTGTTAATGTGTATTTGACCCTAACTTAATTTTACACCAGAATAACCCTTTAAGTAAAGTGAGATTATTCCCTTTAAAATTTTAAAAAACAACATGAAAAAGAGAAACAGTCTATGAAATTTAGTCAGTCGGTGTAATGCCCTGTACCTTTAAGGCTACTTAATGTCAGGAAACATTTAACTGCAGCCACACTCAGCCCCCTTGAAAACACTTCAAACAGCTGTCAGTCAGGTAGACACCGTCTCTGTCAGGAGGGTCAGCAGCCCGGTCCTTCTGCCGCCGTGCTGCTAATATAGATGTCACCCAGTCCATGCAAAGTGTCGCCAGGCGAGCAGGCCTTTAGGCAACCTCGGCTCTAATCTTGTTTGAAAGGCTGGTCTCCTTTCCTCACATCTCCCCGTGCGTTTGCTTCAGCACACACACACACTTGAAACCCCGTCTTCTAACGTGAGTACTTCTTTAAGAAATCTCACACTCACATACTGTACCTACAGATGAAAGCGTAACATCCAGTTCGAAGAGGCACATTCTCTCTCCCTCTTAGGCAAACACACACCAAACACACACACACAAACATGCTCTCTGTGATGCTGTGCCCCAGGCTGGCCGCCCTCTCCATCTGCCCCACCTCCAGTGCCCACAGCTCAACTTTGATCTCTCTTTCCACAGACAGAGGCGTGTGTGCGTGTGAACTGTGTATGTAAGAGTGTTTGCGTACACACGTTTATGCAATCAAAGACATGTTGCTTTTCTCAGCGCCGGTGTGTGTTACAATTGTATCTCCCCTCCAGCTGTAGTCTGATGCATAGATGTAGTCAGTGTGCGTGTGTGTCTGAGTGTGTGTTTGTGTGTGTATGTGTTGCAGCAGAAGTGCCAGCTCAAGTTTGCTGGTGCAGAAGGCCGTCAGCTAGATGAGCAGCGAGTCTCTGTGTGACAGGACGGGGCTCTGAGGGGACAGGCCTGAGATGTCAGGGTCTGATCAGGATGTGTGTGCGCTTGTGTGCGGATGTGTGTGCTGCTATTTCAGATCCCTCTTCCCATCGTGCCTCCCTCCGTTTGCTCTTTCTGCGGTTCCCTCATTCGTCAGTGAGCTGGGTTGCGACCCTGTCTGAAGGCACGGTCTCCTGGGCTTCTTGCTGAGCATCTGTTGAAAGATCACAGCTCGGGCTACATTTGAGGAGGTCTCTTCTCATCCTACTGATCCCTGCCTCCGTCCTTTTTTCCCCCCCTTGCTTCCGCATCTTCCCTCTTTGTCTGTCTGCGGGTCTGTCTCTCTGTCTCTGTCTTTTTCGCTCTAAACCCCCCTCTGCACCACAACCGGAGCTCTCTGCTGCCATTTTGTCATCCTCTCGCCCTGTCTGTCTGCCTGCCGTCGCCTCCACCCCTCCCTCCCTCTCCTCTCATCCATCTCCATGCTTAAATATCAACAGGCTCCGAACTGTCACTCCAGAGGGCCATTGATTTTGTTTTGCTGCTTTGAGGAATCCACTTGAAAGACAATAACAGACTGTCCCCCAAGAGCAGCGTCGCAGACTGATTATGGCCTCCTCAACAAACACACTCTGCGGCTTGTGAAGGATGTCTTTTTATAATGCCTGAAGGGACTGTTTGAATACCTGATATGTGTCTACTACTGTATGTAGTTATTTTACAGCAAATTGTGGTGACTATTGTGTGGTATTGCATCCAAATACCGTTTTCTTATTTAATGTTGTTTATTATTTGGTTTTGGCTCTGTTTGCAAGCAAACCAAAGTGTTTTTATTTTGTATGATGTAGAGAAAATAAATCACATTAAGGAATGTATCGGGCTGATAGCTGTAAAGGAAAAAAAAAAAAAGCACTTTTATTTGCACCGAGTTGAAATGAGACTATTTATTTTTTAAACGATTCTGTACAGAGCTAACTAATTATTTATTTATGTTTGTATTTTATACAGTATGCTTGTTGATGGTCTGGTGATGATATTGTAATGTAGGTGTATGCCTGTCTCATTTTCTAAGATCTGTCTTTTATTTTTCTTTCCGCCTGCAATGTTGCCTGCCTGTGACATCATCTTTATGTGCCCAGTTCTGACCAATGATATTTCAGGACAGGAATAAGGAGCCGAGATGTGAGTTGGTCAGGAGAGGGTCGGAGAAAATACTTCCTGTTTGAGAAATTAAATGCATCTGAAGTTTGTTGCTTATTTTGGAAGAGAAAAATAGAGAAAACAAACATGAGATTAAATATTTTTTATCATCTTCAGAGTGTCTGGATTATTTGAAGCCGCAACCGGAACACTGGAGGAATATAATTCAAGATGTTTTAATGTTTCGCATTTCAGGTTTTGATCTCTTCTCCTGGGGCGGTACAGTGGTGTAGTGGTTAGCACTGTCGCCTCACAGCAAGAAGGCCCTGGGTTCGAATCCGAGTCAAGGCGCTTCTGTATGGCGTTTGCATGTTCTCCCTGTGTCTTTGTGGGTTTACTCCGGGTACTCTAGTTTCCTCCCACATCCCAAAAACATGCAGAAGTGGGGTTAGGTTAAATGGCCACTTTCAAATTGCCCGTAGGTGTGAATGTGAGCGTGGATGGATGTTCGTCTCTATATGTCAGCCCTGAGATGAACTGGCGACTTGTCCAGGGTGTCTCCTACCTTCGCTCGAAGATGTTGGGATAGGCTCCAGCCCCCCGCGACCCCCAACAGGAATAAGTGGTAGAAAATGAATGAATGAATCTCCTCAGTTACCCACTGGACCTTCAAGACAGGCCCAAGCTTCACTCCTCCTTGGTATCCAGCTTCATGAAGTGACTCGTGACCCTGAGACCTTAGACCCCACTAGAGCCTCAAATACAGTAAAAGGACCCCTGAAAAACTGCTTTTATTTTTTATTCACTGCTATCTGAATCATTTCACAGCTTCACAAGCAGGTTAAGCAGTCAGCTACCCTGGTTTATTATGAACTGTAAAAAAAAGGGAAACAAAGCATTTATCCAAACATTTAACAAGTGGCTGTACGAAGTGAACTAGAACTCGAGGTAGTGACTATACAGAAATGTTCGTGTCAAAAGGTATAAACTCAAAATTCAACAAAATATAATTTACAAAGATATTTACGTATAAACTTTTCCAAATAGGAACAAGGTAGTAAAATGTATATAACAGTATGAATGTTTTCTGATCATAACTCACAAAAAACAGAGTATCTGAAAAAAGAAAAGTCATCCTGCGATGAAGTGAACATTTTTATCAAGTGTTTTTCAGTCTTTTTCGATTATTTCTGTGTTGGCTTGCAGCACATCTCCCTGATACTTCAGCTCCTCTATTGCCGCCATTAGGAACGCTGTATGTTCTCCTTTGCATTCCTTTACTGCTCTAGGGATCTGGTCCAGGTAACGCCCTCTACCGAGCTCCAAAAGTGTCTCCAGATCCTTCACCAGCCTCAATGCCCGCTGGTCACTCCACTCTACAGTCACTCTTTGAAGAGAGTGTTCCTTCAAGGCTCTGACCAGCCTGTAGCTCAGACTGTGAGGTTTGTTGCAGTGCTGCAGGCCTTTCTCCTGCTGGTAGGAGAAAATGAGGTGGGTCAGCAGAGAGGATCCAGCCTCCAGGAGGGGCAGGTTCAAGACCTTGGCGTCATCGTTTCTCAGGGAGGAGTCGCCGATTCGTGCGCTGCGGAGCAGCTCCTCCCTCTGTCTTTCTGTGGAGACCAGATCCAGGGCAGTCCGTCCATCTCCATCAGGCAGCTCCAGAAGAACTGAGCCTGGAGGGGCAGAGGTACATGCAATCAGATCACAAAACTTTGACAGTGATTAGAGTCATATCTCAGGGCTACATCTGACTCTTTGTAGGTGTTTCACAATGACATTTCTGCAGCTGAACTGATTTTATGCATGAAACAAAGTGCTAAGGCAAGAGATAACAGCCTGAGACAACCCTGACAGACTTTTAATATTTCCCTTTAAATGCTGATTATATATTTTTGTACAACAGAATCAAATAAAGACAGGTTTTCAAGAAGTCTTAACCAGTACACAGAGAAATATTCAAAGAAAAAAGTGTCTATGAGGAGGTCAGTGAAAGGACAAGGATGAGAGCGTATTGTCAATTCAGCTGTTGAAGTGCTTGGGACAAAGTGCATGTCACAGCCTTCACATACTACAGCAAAACTGGAAATCTGACTGAAAACATCACCTCAATATGAGAAAGTTGGATGTCTGAACACTTCTTTAACACAATGTCAACTATTCCTCCACTTTCAATGAAATACGAAGTTGCCTCTTAAATTCAAAGCAGTAAGATTTTTCTCTCTTCTGTTCTGATTGTCGGAGTGTTTGTCGATGTTACATTTGGTAACATCTACCTGTAGCTTAAGGAGGTTGTGATTAGAGCTGCAACAACAAATGGATAAAATTGATTATTAAAAGTGTCAGCAACCAACTTAATTATCAATTCGTTGTGTCGCGCAATTTATGCGTCACTCGCCATGACGCTAAGCCAGCTGTTAACATCACCTGCAGAGTTTTGTCATTTGCTCTGTCAGTTCAAATGTTCCTTTTTGATCTAAAGTGTAAAAGTTAAAAATGTTTTTGGATTCGATTAATCGATAAATCAAAAAAATAATCGACTGATTCATCGATTAATCGCAAAAATAATCGACTGATTCATCGATTAATCGCAAAAATATTTGATTTTTACCACACTCTAAAATGTATGAGTCTGCGATGACTTAATGACACAGTGACATGCAGACATTATTATCTAAGAGACACTGCACAGGTCAACAACAGGACACGGCAACAGATATAAATAGTGCACACACAGTATGCTGTTCAGCGCACACAAACAAGAACACTCCCCTACATACACACACACACACACACACACACACTTGTAGTGAAATGAACAGCTGTTTACCTGCTGGGCCTCAGTGCCAGCCAGAGCTCTTAGCTCACCATAGCACTAACTTCAGCTGACACCCTGTCTTAACTGCGTGACTGGCAGGTCACAATGCGTTAGTGTAAAAAGAGCAGAGGGTTAGCGATCTGATGGAGGCGCTGCTTCTCTGTTAGCATTCTGGATGCAGTGCAAAGGATGAGCTCATCACTAAAAACAACAAAGAGCTGTGGAGGCCTCTGTTTAGGAAATATCTTTGATAACCTTCTCTGCAAAGACGAGGGGGAAAAGCTGTAAAGATGCTTTATTTGAAATCATTTGTGGCTACAATCACTGTGTTTATACTCTCATAGTGTAAGATAGAGGTGTGTCACGTCACTCAGACGTACAACAAATACACATATCTGTACATTACAAACTCCTCCAATTACCTTGACTTTTCCTTTTCAGTCGTGTTTCCTGACATGACAGTCACAGCTGAATACACCTTTTTCTTCCTCCCCGGGAAAGTTATAACTATGACATTTACTGCAGACACTCTACTCTTCTGCTTTGTCTGCTCAGACTGAAAGCCATTTTCCAGTGTCAGGCGGGCTCGCACGCACTTAGCCTACATGGAGCGGGTCGAGTCAAGTGTGAGCCTTTTGTTTGCTTTCAGATAGACCCATTTCTATGGCAAACTGCTCTTGATGGTACTTGACTGTTCAACCTCTGTGATGCTGCCGCCACTTGCGAGTTTACAGCTCTGCTGAGGCTCGGCGTGACACACACACAGCTGCATGATACCGCCGCTGGAGGTTGTTTTTGGTTTGACAGACTCTGCAGGGTTGCGGGATGCATGATGTTTTAAAAAAAATGGGACAATCGTGATTGTGTATTGTGACATAAACCTTAGCTAGAGAGCCTCCAAAGGGCAATCTTGACAAAAAGACTGTCCTGTTTTAAATGACCCCGCTCAAAAAAGAGTTAAAAATGGCACATTATGAATCCTTAAATTGCTCTTCATCTCCTCCACAGAACTAACTCCGTGCAGCAGTTATGAGATAATCGGTGAGGGCTCACGTAGCCGTTAGCGGCGAAGGTCAGCGCACGTCTACCTTTTAGTGCTTCAAGCCTGAGTGGCAAAAACGGAATCTGCATAAATTGTGGCATTAATCTACATAAACTTTTACATAAGCGGGGAAAATTCAAATGCAGGGGTCAGGCATCGGGGGCAGCAGTCAAGGACGTAAGAGCGCAGATTTGATCAAAGTGGCCACAAGAGAAAGACAAAAGAGGGGAGAGGGGGGGAGCGAGTGAAGTGGTGAGCGTGTGTGAGAAAGAGAGAGTAAGTGAGGGTGTTCACAGCAGGTCATAATCACCAAGTTTATATAACAATCTGTCCTCCTCACTATGACACTCATCCTGTAGGAGTGTGAAACCTGTCGTAGTAGAAAGGTTCAGGTGTATCGTAATGTAACTTTTAGTGAAGGCTTCTACTACTACAGTACAAACTCCAAAAGAGATGGGATGTATTTTGAAGATTGTGTCATCTTTCCAATGTTTTCTTTTCTGTGTCTTCCTTTAATAGGTCCAGCCTTGGACTGAGCTCTGTGAGGGGCCTGGACAGGGGCCCAAGCACTATGTGGTGTGTTCAAGGAAAAAAAACAGGAGGACAAGGTTTACCTCACCCACTCACTTCGGATGTTTCTGTAAGTACGACGTATCCTTCATGTTCCTTTTTTATCGAAAGCGATTGGAGCAGACACAAAGCAGGGACGTTTAAACAGGTGAGAGGAAATAGAGAAGAATAGGAAGAGGACAAGTGACTACTACTCAATAACATGTCCGATACATGAATATAGATGCTGCATACAAACTACGAGTACAGAGCTATCAGTCACCCACTCTTCATTCTTCATGCAAAGTAAGGACATCTAACAATATTATATCTATATTTCTGTGAAGATCAGTTTGCTTTTAGTTCATATGAGGTTAAATCGAAGAGAAATGATCTCAGCCTCTGAATTAAAATCAAATCTAAATCCCATCGTTGGAAAGAATGAGTTTAATGTTTTGTAATGAAATATATGATTTTTAACCGTCTGCATGGACCACATTTATAAATCACTTCACCAATCATTCATGGGAACTGCGAAGATTGTGCATCAGTTGAAATTGCATGAGTTTCCTGTGGTTCGTTCTCCTCTCATGGGAACAGTTCTCATTGTAGCAGCAAAGACATGCAAACAAAAACAACAGGTATGAGGATACAGCGGTTAAAGCAGCAGAAATACTTCAAATCAGATTTTCGAATTCTCCATCAACCTGTTTTAAAGCAGAGCGGCCCAATCGGAAAGGTCAAGATTTCCTCTGAAACAGAATCACCATCAAAATAAAATAACCACAATCATCTTCGGTGCTTTTACTCTAAAATTTCCCCTCTTCAAAATTTTCTCTCAAGCATTCTCCCTGTCAAGTCTAAACCTCAGCTTCGTTCACTCACATGCACATCATCAGCGCAAGAAAAAGGAACGCAAAATCGAGGAACTGGGTTTTCCAGCGCTCCCCCGACGTCACGGTGTCAAACTCAGCTGACAGACAAGCTCCGACCAGAGTGATGACACTGGCGTGGGGAGGAGAGGGCCCCTGCAGCTGGCCCTGGGCTTGGCTTGTCTGAAAGCTTGTACGACTGACTGAACGAGTGTGTGTTTGATTCCAGATCCCTGCCTAAGTGTACCTGCCTTTGGAACATCAGTGTATTGACTGTTTGACTTTATTCCAGTTAGGCCCTGGCTTCTGGCTCCTGATTTTCCAGGATTTTCCAGTTATTATCCTTTGTGTTTGACCCTCCCGTTGCATAAGAGTCGCACTTTCTTCTTTTAATTTATCCATTGAAATAGAACACACAATTGGGTCCAAACACACAGCTAAACCGCTCCCGATACTTAAGACATCAAGGGTGCTAGCCGGTGCCAAATTACATATTTTCCAATGGAAGACATGAAAATGGCACAGAGTGCTGTTTGCAACATTACACACACAAAACACACACAAAACACACACACGGTTATGAGAGCAGAGGCTGGGGAATGGTTCTGGTGCAGGGACAGTGACTGAAGTGGATCCAGGTACTGGCGCTAGGTGTCAGATATGCTGCAGTTGAGATAAATACAATACCTGGGGGATTACATGAGAGCACAGGGTAATTACACAGCCCTTTGTGTGTGCATGTGTGTGTCTGTGTGTGTGAGTGCACATGAATGTGAAAACACCCTTCTAAAACCTCAGCTCTGGAGCCACAGCGGAGAGGGGAAACGCACATGCTGAGCAAAAGCCACTGCCTGATGCACCAGCCCGATACAGTCTGACAAGCTGCTGCAAACACACACACAGCGCACACACACACACTCACACACACACACACACACACATGCAGAGCGCAAAGCCCTTTGGCCTTTAGAGGGCAGGCGAAGACAAGAAATATAAAAGCAAGAGGGGGAGGAGGGGAAAAACTGGCTTAAAAAGAGGGAGGGAGGGAAAGAAAGAAAGATGCAGTGCTCCCTCCTCCTATGTCTCTCTCTCTCTCCCTCTCTCTCTCTCTCTCTCTGGTAAGAGGCTGGGGCTGAGGCAGACAAGCTGGGAAGCAGACAGCTCCACAGCATGGTAAACATCCTCTCTCTCCCTCACACACTCTCTCTGAATAAGAGAGGCAGGGTGAGTGTGAGAACTGCAGCCAGGGGCACGGCATCACACATCCATAGGGAGCTGCTAGCTAGCAACTAGAAAAACCACAGCACAAACAACAAGGCCAGACCGAGTGAAGCACCAAAGCAGCCTGCAGAGAGGCATCAGATGCAGGAAAAAGAAAGACCAGCTCGACGTGTGAGCATGAGAAAATACTCTCAGCTTTAGCAGCAGTGTCTGAATGTTTGGGGATTTCTTTTTTTCTGATTTTTCCACCTTGATATTTGGAGTATGAACTCACGGCTGGGAGAGCCTGTGGAGGTTATAGTGGAGGTTATGCACAAGCTGGTGTTAGAGGAGATTTGATATAGCGGTGGGATAAACAAAGTAAACCTACACAAAATACTGGTGGGAAATTTTTTGATTGCTGACGTTTTGTTTGCTTTGACTATTACCGCTCCATCTGCTAGCACCGCACTGTTGTTTTTGTAGCTGCCAATGGATCATTGACAAATCCCTTAAAGTAGTTGCAGTTCAATGAAATATAAGAAAATTTTACCAAGCCCAACATTTCCTTGCAATTTACAGTACGTCGATCTCTGCAACTTTTCCGCAAATCCCCCAATTTATCCACTGGTGTCTGTATGTACACCATTGAACCCACTTCTTTTATATCCAGATAATGAGTCATCTTAGCCCCGCATTGCTTGATATACACCAGAGGCTGTTTTCCAGCAACAAGGTAAAAAGTACTGTTTACGTTCATCCTGCTTAGTACTGACCAATCCGAGGTTGAATAAATTATCGTTTACGATTTATCGTCAGAAAAATCCTCCACAATAATTATTTGCCATGTCACGGTAAATGCGATAAATGTAAGTTAATGACGCAAAGATGAGGCTTAGACGAGTGCAGTCTGAGATGCCTGACATCAGACAGTGGATCTGCTGCTGCCGTTCACTCCGTGCAGAAAGAGTTTTGAATAAATCTTGAAAGTGTTTTCACATTTCAGACTTGGTTGATGTCTCTAGTTTTACCTATAACTTACTAATTAACCTTGTGGTTAAGTATCTTAATTGACTATGCCAACTGGTAGGTGCCATCCAAGAACAATGATTGTGGGGTTTTTGAAGACAGAATAAGTCAAAAACATGGACTAGAATTATATTTTTTATCAGAGCGTTATCATTATCGTCAGAATGGCAAAACTTAGCATGATCATTATTTTCTAGCCCATATCGCCAATCCCTACAACAGGTACAATGATGTGATTTCTGTCCTTGCCTATCCAAACACAGTCCTGTCATGCATGGTAAGGTAGGACAGCATAAACATACATGGGGGGGATCAGATATCCTGTGATGAACTGGTTGTTGATCAGAGGTGGTCCATAAACATCTCCAAAAATCAGAATGATGCTCCAAATCAACACTTATCTGCTCTCATGAATTAGAGAAAGGCTAATGACTTCCTTCAGCTGTTAGCTCTAATGAACTGTCATGAACTGAATCATCAGTGAATTCACGGTTTCTGTTGGTGCCATTAACGTGCATTAAACCTCATTTAGTTACTTCAAGTATTTGGAAATTAATATCAGAAAAGCAGAGTGAAATGTCCGCATTAAACTCAGAATACCAAACAGCAACCAAAAGTCAATCCTGAATCCCTGAATGTCGGAGATTGAAGACAGTTTGTACATGAAGAATGAGCATTGAGCAGATCTTACATACTCTTTAATTTTGTGTCAAAGAGCCTTTGATTAAATTTATAAGATTCTGGTATTGCTGTGGTCTTTATCTACCTGGATGCATCACACACAGTTTAAATGTTAGATAAAAGACTCTGACTGATGACCTGTATCAGCCTTTATTTTAAATATAGCTGAGAAAATTTAAAAAAAAAAAACTAAAAATGTCTTTGGTTTATCTGCTGGTGTGTCTTTCCCTCTGCTTCTGTATTCTTGCACCACTTTGTCTGGTCTTATGTCCCGCCCACAACACAATCTGATTGGCTACACGTCATAGAACTTAGTGACATATCTGTCCTGTAACTAGTTAACTGTTGACTCCTGTGTATAATGTTTAAGTTTTCAATTATGATTACTAAATTGCTAAAAGCATTTAAGCAGTTTTATGTTGGATTTTGTCATGAACCAAATTCCAAATTTTGCTTTTCAGTTTTACTGTAAATGTATAAATGGATAAACCTATATTTCCCAAGCATTTTCTTATCACGTCTCATAAATTTCCACTTGGCTCATACTCTGGAAACTCAGCAAAGAAGGTCAGGATCAGGTGAAGTTAATTTAGATAGAAAACTGAAAAACGAGGCTGCTCCTGTGCAGCACTCACTAGTTCTCTGAGTTAATTGTTAATTTTAACAAACTGACGAGAGCTTTTTCTAAACTGAAGAAAATGACATTACAATATTTTCTATTGCAGTCATTTGTAGTGCGAACTATAACCCAGAGTTTTTTTTTAATTCCTATGCTTCATATTTCACATAATACTTGCAACATAAATCTAAAATAAACTTAATATCATTTTTTTTTCTAATTGGCCCCAATCAATCTGATATTTAACCAGAGTTTTATCTGACTGTGTAAAATGTCGTGTCAGAACACTAACATGCTTGAGTTTGGTGAGTGTAGGCTATTCACAGTGTTTACCATGCCAGCACGTTCACTGGTGCCATCTATTCGGTGAATGTTGAGATTTTACTCGGACTAATAAATATGTACTATACAAATAATACACTTTGTGAGTACTAGGGGTGGGAATCACCAGTGGCCCCACGATACGATATTATTGTGATTTTTTACATTTTGCAATACAGTGAGTATTGCGATACAATATATTGCGATGTATACAATTTTTTAAACTGTTTAGCTAATTTAGCATTTAACTTTCCTTCATGTTTGTCTTATTTACGCTGTATTTTATTTTCATGTAGCACACCTTGCAAACTTTATATATATTTGTTGGACTAACTTTTTCCTGCTTTATAATGTCACCTCTGCCAACTTCACTGGACAAACAGTTGATTTTATTTTTCTACTATCATAGATTTGACTTCATATTAGCAATTAATTAGAAAAATCTATACTTGGTAAATGAGACGCTACGATATATCACCGGACAAAATATTGCAATACTATGCTGTATCTACTTTTCTATTTAAGAAAACAGTATTTTAGAATTGTGGTAATAGTCTGGAAACATAAATATTTTTCCATACTTTATTTTTCATTTTCCATACTTTTTAACACCTGGAAATTGATCGAATTTATTTCTATATTTTTCCATACTTGTGTAGGAACCTTGTGACCCTATAACAAAAGCCATGCTTACTTTTAAGTTCCACCCATGCCTCCAAGTTGTTGAAATAGTAATTTAAGCAAACAATCAGCTGTTTGATTTCTTTATTCACACTTCCTTATCACTGTATAACCTACCCTACCAGTTTGAACAGCTTTTATAAAGTCTGTCCTTGTCTGTGTTTAGTGTTTATATCGATTCTACTTCTTCCCTAAAGTTCTTGTAAAGTGCTTTTATTAAAGAGAGGCGATAACATTTATTGAGAAGGAGTGTAGGATGATCTAGGTTCAGGGCTGGAGGAAGACAGAGAACTATCTTCATGGCCAACAACACAAAATCAGCTCTGGCCTGTTACCAAGTGTTTTTTGGTTTAAAATCAAACAGGCAAATAAGAAGTAAACCTTGAAACTCAGCTTTGTGGACAGAGGAGGAGGTTTACTGCACTTAAAATCTCAAACACTCTTAAAACCTTGGGAATGAGACAAACTTAAACTCCAGCAGCCTACAGAGTCCAACTAAAAGGAGATAATCTGTGTATCTTTGTCCCTGTTTTTTTCTTTTTCACTAAAACAAGCTTGTTATGGCCGTCATACTTTAAAAAAATAGAAAAGAGCAAAATAAGAGTGTGTTTGTAAATTTTGAAAGGTGGTTCTGGACTTAACTAGCCTGTAAGAAACTTTTGGCAACATTCTCTCTGGGTTTATGTGAAAAGGGGTCTCTCTCCCTCTCTCTCTCTTTCTCCTCTTGGAGCACGATGAGGAATAACCAGGGAGACGGTTGGAAAGAGCTCCAGACTTAATCCTGGCAGCCACCCCAAAACACAGAAAAGAAAGGTTTTGGGGGGGGTTGGATAGCGAGAGACAGGCAGGAAGAGAGGAGACAGAAGACGAATCTAGTGAAAAATTCCCAGCGAGGGAAGTCCTTGAAATACAGCCTGCAGAAAGCTGAAACATCAACACACCCGAGTGAAGCCGAGGGCTCCAAACACAGCCTCACCTCTAATAGTACGAGCGCTCTGCCAGTTCAGGACCCACAGGGAAATAAGAGCTGAGCAGAATGAACTTTCTTCACCGTGTTGACAGTGAAGAGGCCCAAGTGTGTCTGCGGCGTTACCTGTGAGTGTGTATGTATCTATGACAGAGATAGACAAACAGACAGAGACAAACCATGACTGACTACAGCGGGTCCGAGGGGACCGTGTGTTTCCTGTGCCACTGAGCAAATGACATCTTTCTGCTCCACAAACACTTGTTCGCATTAAGATCTGCAGGGACCGCGGCAGGAACGCTCTGCGTTAACCGTGCCTGTGTTTACGTGTGAGTGTGAGTGTGTGCGCAGAAGATGCAGAAAAAAAAAAAAATCCAAAGAGAAATTAGAGATGCAGTCATGTGGCAAGCTGTCTGGCCTCTTTTGAACTCGTCTCAAGCCAAACAATTAGAGAAACAACAAAGCGCTTGAACACATACCTGACCAATTCTTTCTGCTACTTTACTCTTACCCTCCAAGCGTCTAAATGAGTCCTTGTGTGTGTGTGTTTACAAGCCGAGGTGGACTAGCTGTGCTTACTAACACGGTGGGCTGCATTGAGAGGACGCCATCAGCGATTACGCTCACAGGGCCGATTGGTGACAGCTTAAAGGCTCTTTTCTTTATCTCTCCACCCCCTTTTTCTCGCCGACACGCCTCCTCTATGTGTGTGTGTGTGTGTGTGTGTGTGTACGCGTATGTGCCAGCTCTGTACTGCACTGCTAAACGCTCCGGGTCATTTTCCATTCCAATCAGGGGTACCGGCTGCCCTGGCCACCCTGCAAAAATCTCTTACCAGCTGAGGAAGGGGCACAGCAAGCGTCAGCAAACACTCTTACAGATTCTTAATTGCAAGCCAGCAAACGCTCGTTCCAGTATTTAAGATTCAGGAAAATACTTGTGCATGCGTACTCTTACACCAAAATATATAGCCAAGGACACTCAGAGCAAAAACAAGCCAAACACACACTCACACACACACACACAGCATTTCGCGCAGGGTCATGTGGGGCAGCCTTGGGCGATAGGAGGAGGAGTGGAGGAGAGCGGAGTCAGCCTTGCCCTCAGCCATGGCATCCTTTCCTTGCCAGCTCCAAAAGCCTTCAGGGACTGAGGTAGAGGGGGTAAATAGGAGGGGGTGGGATCCATCCATTCCTCCTCCCCCCTTTTACAATTCACCCCTTGAAAACGCACACAGACACACACACACAGGGCCCAGGCCTTGGAGCAGACAGGCTTACAAAGGGGTGAGATCACTCCCAAGTAAAGGCTTTGTTGGCGTGCCAGTGTCAGTGTTGCCCTCTCTGGCCTACAGAAACCTTGGCAGCAAGGTTCAGCCTGCCTGTGTGAAACAACTAGGACAGCGGGGTGAGCGCTTCAATGAAAAATATAGTTTCAGGAGGTGTTGCAAGAATAAAACGAAGGAATGAAATAAATAAAGAGAGAGAGGGAAAAAGAGAGAGAGAGAAATAGAAAAGCATCTGGCCCACTGGCCTGTTTTGCTATCATGGGACGGCACACAAAATTTAAGTGCTCTGATGTATGGGTGTTAGAAATGCAGCCACAAGCACAAAAGTCCTGCTTAAGTTTAGAGAAAAACTGGAACGAACAACAACACAAAGATGGTTACGGTAACTAAGCATGATGTAGCCCTCAAGCTACAACTTTTCACATTTAACAGCCTGGACTTTGACTTCTGAAAGAAGCAGGAAAAAAAAATGCTAGGACTATCCGTGGTGTCCATGGCAACCAGATGGAGATCAGGGAGAGACAGTGTGGCCTGGAGTCAAGAGGACCACCTCCTCACCAGCTCCCTGCTGTAGCCTTTAGACAAGCCGCCATCAAGGTGTGAGGAAATAGCAAACAGTCAGGCGAGAGCGAGTGAGAAAAAGAAGTGTAATGTACAAGCCTGCAGGTGTTTAAAAACCAGAGTGTTCTTATTCCATGTTGTTCTGTGAGGTCCCTGTGAGGAGACCTGGCCTAGACAGCAGGCCAGACGTCTGCTACACACACATACACCCGCACACACACACACATTTTCTCCTCTAATTTTTCAGATACAGATAGCTGCCTCTTCTTCTGACCTCTTTTAATTTGCTCTCCCTCCTGTTTCAGAGGAAGGAAGAGAGAGAGGGAGAAAAAAAAAGAAGGCAGCGCTCTCTTGTTTCCTCTCCGGGACTAAACAATCCCAGTCTAATTTATTTTTTGAGGACAGAATATGTACATGTGTTAATGGGAAAAGTCGAATCAAATTAACTATAATTAGTCAAACCAAGGAGTGAGCAGAGGCAGAGGTATGTTACATGAGAGACTTGTTCAATGCAGACAACCCCCCCCCCCATCCTCTCTTCCTCACCCCCCCTCTAAAAAAAAAGCACAGACATTTCCTCTGCCACCTGCTGCCATGCACCCATCGACGCCACCCTCTCCTGAGCTCTGACACCCGTCACGCTCACTTCAGCTCTCCTGAGCTCAGACCGTATGAGGCACACAAACATGCAGACGTACAAACTAGTCGTGTTGTGACACATTTCCGCGAAAATTCCCTGTGTGTGAATTACACAAGCGGCAGATTCCTGACTCCTCTCATCCCGTCAAAACGGCATTAACAGACATCTTAGGAGGTGACGCTGTAATGTATTTGGACAGAAGCTGCAGAGCAGGATCTTATGAAGATGAGTGTCAGGGGCAAAGAAGAGGTGGTGACGATGATCTTAAACTCACTGCTGCTTCATCTGGGACCAAGTCTGTTAGTATCTTGTGAATCTTTAAAGAACTGTGGGTAAATACAGAGTATATAAGTTTTATTAGATTTGCTTGAGCTAATACTAATAAAATGATCTCCAGAAATGAGATCAAATTGTAACACAATTGGAGGGAAAACAAAATTCATAATTAAAAAAACAATCTCCTGTATGGATTCAGCCCAAATAAACTATAGATTCTTTATTTCCCATAATGCATATGGCATCTTTAGTTGGAGCCTCATTTAACAGCATCATCAAAAATACTTTTTCAAACTTTACAAGTTCCCTCCAGAGCTTGGAAAGAAACTAAAAGTCTGCATTCACAGGCTGAATAGTAAACCGATGTGTGGAATTAGTGTGCTGGCCCTTTAAATGTCCCACATCAACAGGTCCCTCACTCTACCAAGGGGCCAGTTAAAATAAAAACTGGCACCCTAATAAGGTTGAAGACAGCATTCAAACTGTCAGTGAGCTCAGCTACAATTGTCGGCTAAATTAATGAAAAGCTTGTCTTGGCTGCAGAAACAGAAACAGCAGCAGCAGCGGCGGCTACATGTAGCCCTCCACTGTGGTAAATCATCAGCTGACTGTCTAATTCTACAGATTAGCTCTCTTGGCAGCCAACTGGCCAGACAAGTTAAAGGTGTTTTATTTAAACATTATATGATTCCATCAACGTGGCGGCAGCCATTTGGCTTAATGAATCGTTTAAAGGAAGATGGATTACAGAAACGCATCTAAAATCAGCTGCGTATATCCAATCTAATTAGGACAAATAAACATGTAGCCTTGATTGAAAGAGCTAATTGAACCTGCATGACTGATGCTACTGAACTACAGAGATCCAAAACCAACAGCAGCAGCAGTTTTTTTTTTCATTAAAAAAGTGCACTAGGTAGAGCTTTCTTAAAAATATAGAAATACATTAATCTCTTAAAATATTCCTAAAGAATTACTTCTAATCTACTCTGACTGGTTGACCCAAGATTTGTCCGACATATTTTGTGTCAAATGGCCTTTTATGCAGCTACACAGACAGAAAAGCATTGCACTGTAAGGGTGAACATGTGGCATCCGTCTCTTCTTCCAACTATTATTACCTGCATCACGAGTTATTGCACCAATGTGAGGCTGCAGCGTCCTTTCAGTGTGAATGTAGAGGGTAAACCAACACAAATGTTCCTTCAACAGATGTAAAACACTGCCAGTCATACTCGTATTTGTGAGCTGCTTTGGTACCATTAGAGCACAGACCTGTTCCTGTTAAGGAACCATGAAGAAAACACCGGAGCAAAAACGGTATCAATAGCTTTAGCTTCCTTTTTTAAAGCCTTAACTTTTTCCGCTACTTCATGTTCGCTCATATTTCAAACCAACGTGCCTCTAGGGGTGTGAACTCACCTGCGTGCTCCAGTAGCATCTTGGCGATGTCCATGTGCTGGTTCCGCAGGGCGTCATGCAGTGGACTGACTCCACCCACCTGGCTGTTGAGCTGAGGGGCGGGGCGATAACGTAGCAAGAGCTCCACGCAGGCTGTGCTGCCGTAGTTGCACGCTTCGTGCAGAGGCGTCCATCCTGCATAATCTGAGTAGAGTACAAACCCAAACACACAAAACAGAGCTAAAGAGACTTCAGCAGTAACATTGTAAGACAGAGGTTTTTTCTGAACCTATTATATTTTAAAAAGTGTATCTCAATTATAAAACAGAACATTAAAAATACTATCAATGTGAAATTATGACCAAGAGTTTGCACGTTTTTTAGCAGTACATTTTCTGTTTTTTCTTTCTCAAAGCAAGGTTATAAAGTATTTCAGTATTTTCTCCACACAAAGATATTGAGAGACTTTCACTCCCATTAGCAAGCAAACTAAATCTGTTGAGGTTTAGATGTAGGTTGAGCTGTGAAAGCTAACGCCTGTGCATGCAAACAAGCTAGCAGGAGCTAACCAGAGGAACCAAGCGTTAGTTTAAAGGTACTTAAAGCCAAAGTTGATTAAGCTAATAATGTAAACAACGCAGTCAATACACAAAGCTCCATCCGTATCATAAATAACGGCTAATTTAAAGAGTATTTTAATGACTTATTTGTCCTTGCTACTACCTTGAGGAAACAGAACATCACTGCAGCTGAACTTGGGCTGCTGAAGCTTGACTCATGATAGTTTTATGCCTTAAGATGATTTAAACTCCTAAGTGGCGTTACAATATATTCACAACGATGACCATGAACATGTAATAGAAGCTGTATTTCTGACACTTAAGGCATATTTCTGCCTTCATTTCTTGTAGTCTTTTTCTCGGAGTTAAAGCTGTATGAATGTTGGGTAACACTTGACGACAGTTTTGTTTTCACTGAACCGAAAGGCTTCAAACAGAAATTGTTCTGCCTCTGTTAACCGGGCCTGGTTTCGGGAGGGGAAAACTGCAAGGTGACAACGGTAGTTTTGCAAATTTCGCTAAAATTCTTGCTCGTCTCGTTTTGGACATCACCTTTTGCATCAGCCCCCTACCGAGGAGGAAGTTAATTTAAGCGGCTATTAACGGACGATTACGAAATCGGAGAAACCTTTAGAAACGGCAACACATTTCCATTAAAGCAGGGTGGCTCATTATATTTGACCTAAAGGGACAAAAGAAAGTCGCTCTGAAATATCAAAAGGCATTAATACACTTAGCAAAGTCACAATAACGCCATAAATCTGCACCTCCAAACCTCCCCGCTCTCTGTAGACACACCCTTTACATTTTAGCTAAAGGTTAACCTCAATGATGACGCACACACACTCCTATTTCTCCTCTCCTATTTTTTTCTCCGATGTTAATCGTTCCTCGAAACCCCAGAGCAAACAGTGGGAGAGAGGTGAGGTTACAGAAAGAAAAGGAGCAGCGAGAAAGTCCTACCTTTAACGTTGACGTCCATGCCAGGAAGCGCCAGGATCTGAAGCACTGTTTCCACATGGTTCCTCTTGCAAGCTCTGTGGAGGAGGGTCTCTCCTTCGACCAGGACACACACAACGGACAAACACACCCAACAGAGAAGAGAGGCGGAAGAGAAGAGAGAAATCCCAAATTAGGGTGTGCCTGATGTCCTGCCCATTGTCCCCCTCCATATGCTGAACACACCAATAAAATACCCCAGAAATGTCCCCTAACACCAGGAAAAAAGCCTGACCTAAAAAAGTACGACCCGCCAATGAGGATGCGATTTAAGACGAGTGATGAGAAAAGGGGGGAGACCTTTCAAGGGAGGAAAAAAATTAAATATGGAGAGTTGGACTATTCGCTTCGCTCTTTGCCTCTTTTATAGACACAGAGATTTTCCACTTACACTGTGAGCCAGACAAAGTTAATATCGGGGCAGTCGGCGGGTGAATGGATGTAGCAGCGAGAAAGTGGTCTCGCTTCCTGTCCGCTCGTCCCTGTATTGTTACTCGAGAGGAAGTTATGGTAGACAGCCCACGCACAAAGCCTCCAAACGGATTCTTCACAGATCCAGGGTTCAAAAGCTCCGCTGGGCATTGCCACTGTCGCCACGTGATATTTAATCAGCAAACTACCAGTGAACAGGCATGGAAAAACCCTCTCAAGGATTCCATTTACATTTTTAAACACAATTTTCCTCCCCGCTCTTTGCTTTTTTTCACGTCTTTACCTTGTCCCACACTTTTCCCTGATACAATATTAAACCAGGAATACATTAGTGGCCCAGAGCCCCCTCCTTTCATGTATGGCTGAACTTCAGAGGGAAGTTAAAGGCCAAGCATGAGTGGCTCTGTGCTTGCCAGTATAATACAGAACTGCAAAGCCCGTAATAAATGCTTTACTAGCTCTCCCCAGGACGCCACGCCTGTACAGGGGCTCCACTTCAGCGCTCACAGAGCACAGACTGGGGCAAAAAAAGGAGGTGGCGGAGGCGAGGGGAGGGAGGAAACGCAGGGGCAAGAACGAAGAAGCGATGGAGGAGCGGGTGAAAGGGTTTCTTGCATTTCAAAGCATATGAGTAAGAATGAAAAATATTGAAAATGCCGGGCTCTTTTCATTCTCAAGATTCCTTTCTTCTAGGAGGTGTCTTTGAGGGTGCAGAAGATGCATTAAATGCCATCCGGTGGTAGTGAAGAAAAGGAGAGGGGTATAGAAAACAGGAAAATGGAGGAGCGGTTTATCAAATAGAGGATCATTTATGATTTACCAAGATGGGATGCAAAACAGAAGTTCAGAGAGTTTGATCTGCGCATACTTTTTGATGCTGAAAATGTGGATTTGAGAAACAACACACGTACATACAGTGTATCAAGATAGTTGTCAAGGATTTTGGTGTCATGAACTCTCCAGAAAAATTTAAAAAAATGGGAGCTGACCTGTGACGGACAATCACACAGAGCCAGACTTTAAGACTTCTGTTTTAAACTTGACTTTTAAGGCGTGTGAAACATTAGCAGCATTATACATCAGGGCTGGGCGATACAGCCTCAAATCAATATCACGATATAATGAGCAGTTCACGTCGATAACGATAAATGGACGATAACTACTCCACAAGTTGCTCAACCCCTCCCACTTTAACTTCGTCTATTTCAGCCGCCGCTCCAGCCTCTCCAACTTTTGAACTGTCCTCCATCTCCTCACCTGTCTCTTGTTATGGACTGGATGGGGTGGAGTCACATCTCCGACGTAGGATAGCATCTTAAAGAGACACTAGACCATAGCCTACCTACACACACCCAAAACCAACTTTTGTTTATTCATTTTTTGACACCGAATATACCGATATGGGCAAAATGACGTCATAAATTGTTGTAAACTTCGTTATCGGTAAATTTTCGGTTTATCGCCCAGCCCTAATACATAGACTAAGTCAAAGTGGCAACACCCATGTGTCATTGAAGTGGAATTTTCAAACCTTTTGGCAGCTGTCACAATATCAAAAATGCTTTTTCAACCTAACTTTTGGTCGACAAACCAAGAGGTAAAGAGGTGGAGTTGAGGCGGGCCTTAAAGTCTACTCCCTGACAGCTCCCCAGTTAATCTAGTCAGCTGTGTCTCTAATGCTGCGAAACTTGTAACCTGAATATCCTTGAAACAGATGTGTTGTTAAAAAAAAAATCACCCCACCCCCACCCAATTAAAGAAAGTAGGAAATCACTTTTGCTCTTTAGAAGATGCAGCCAGGACATTTACTGCAGCTTCTTAAACGCAACACATTAAAATCACTTTGACTGCTAGTTCGTCTGCAGTTTCAATTTGCAGCTCCACACAAATGGGACTTTGACTAACTTTAAACTTTAATAACTCTGAGTTTATTTTTTCAACAATTTTCAACAAAAATTCAAATAATGTTTAGAAAATAAATGAATACTTTTGTGAATGTCAGCAGGTTTTCAAAAAAAGGAAATTCAGAGAGCAGAAGTAGAGATAGTTGTTGCATCAGGTTTAATGACCAAACCAAAATGAAGAAGTGAAACTGAGAGTGGTGTCAGGTCCAAACTAACGCTCACTCTTGATGAGTAAGCTGTACTGTATGGCACGTCACTGTTTTACATGAACTGCTCTGCTGTTACCGGGCTCTAAAACACTGTGATTAAACACCCATTCCACTACACCCCATGTGTACACATCCTCGCAAATGCCAGGGCCAATCCATGCACTGTTAAATCACTTTAATGGCTCCAATTTGGACACAACGCCTCTATTATAGGGGTAATTGCATGCTCAGCATTTACAAGCACGGAAAGGATAAATCCGCCTGTCCTTTTCTATAAATCCCCTGTTTCACACTTTAATAGAAAAGTTAAATGTATGTGTTGCTCTTTATATCCCTCAGTCTGCTCACTACACTCCTGTAAAGTGTCACTTGGCCCAAAAATCCCTGGACCAAAATGCAAGGGGAAACCTGGAACAATGCTATTTGTTAGGACTGTGTTTGAAAGGTATTCTTTGCCATTTACTGGACCCGTTTTAATCTATGTGAGGACTTCTGTTGTCTCTGGCTCAAGACACAATGGTAACACTTTAATTTCCACAAATGAAGAATGAATGAATTATTCTAACTTCAATAATTTTTTCTGGCATTGACATAGCAGAAAGTATGCTTACAGTATAAAGTGCACTTCCAGTCCTCTGACCATCCAGAGTCCTTGTATCCCACCTTCATCTTCACCTTAATAGTAGACTGCAGGAGCCAGGATCAAACCGGTTTGATTGAAAGACAAACAACTTGTTGTAGCCATTTTATATTTAAAAACACTGTTTATGATTGACGTCTCTTTTGTTTGGTTGGATTTGAGCAGAGTTGATTTATTGGTTGGTATTTCTGATGTTATCATTTTTGGTCACATGATTGTGGTCACACGTCACGGCGGGTGGTGTCAGTCTGCCAGTGTCAGGCAGGTGAAGGCTGTGGTTTTGTATAGTTTTTGACCACACATGTATGTTGGACTTGTTTCTTAGTTAAAGCAGAAATTCTGTCATCTTTGAATTTAATATCGGTTTTCAAGAAGCTTTTGTGAACATTTTAATTGTTTTGGGATAAATCCTTCAACTTTAAGTGGCTGTTTCTTGGAGTGCGCCCTAACGTCACAGGCCGTTCATCGCCGCGACACAACTATCACTGAGATTTAGAATATGACATGTCTGTTCAAACAAGTGGAAGCAACAATTCTATTTGCAAGCAGCTGTCATGAAAAACCACTGGCCAGATTTTGACTAAATTTAGTGGTGAGGAGTTTTGACAGAGGAGGAACCTTTTGAAGTTTGCAGCAAGTGTAAATCTGGGATGCAAATCAGCACCTGCAGCAGGTCTGACCTCTAATCAAGCATCATTATTGGGCCAAGTTTTGATATTAGCTTGTCAGAAGATCTGTGTGTAGTTCATGTTGCATGTTTATTGATCAATACTATTTTGCACTCATTAACAGAAATGCTGTCAAATCAATCAGGGACAGAAATATGATAGCTGTTGGTTTGTCACAGGCACATTGTGCAAAAAATGTTATGCATTATTTTTTAAATTATAGCATAGTACAACACCAGTGCAGATGATGCTTTAGCACAAAACCTCATTCTAAATAACTCAGTCTTTATTTATGCAGACACTCCTGATTTGAATTGTACACAAGACTAGACTGTCAGCCTTGATCAAACTCGACTTGACTGAGTTCAACTTTGGCATGCACTTGTTTAAACTTAACTGTAAAATTTGTTGATTGGTATTTTTAGTTTTATTGAATAGGAATTCAAAATTCTGCAGAACAAATAAAATGAAAGAGGTGTAGGATTTGCATGTGTAGCTATCATGGAACCCATCTTCTGGCTGTGAAATGAGCTGTCCCTACTTCCCAATAACGATAGCTAAACTCTGTCAGCCAGCCTCAAGTGAGCACTTCAGGAACTACAGTTTTTTGCGCTTCCTCATCGGCTTTATTTCTCAACACTGGAGGTTGCTGCTTGGTAATGACGTCCAATCTCCATCAACTTTTGACCTCAGCCCACGATCAGATATTACATCAGCCTAACAGCGGGTTATGAGTCGCCCCATGATCCGAATGTACGATTTGTGTCAAACTACCTTGAGATTTTGATGTCAGAATTTGACGCCTACCCAGTACAAATATTTTGACAACCTTACAAACAGATCAGAGTTACTTATTATCATATAAATTACTGGTAAGATGAGCCAAAAATAGAAACGAGGAGTCTTAAATGGTGCCAACCTGACAAGTTTTGATTCATGAAATCTTCAATCTGTGAAGAAGGAACAGTCATTCAGTCTAATTCCCAAAACAGAGAGTAATAATTGGCCTTGTTGTTTTTGCCAGTATCAAGCCACGACTTGAAAGGCTTCATATGCCAAAGCAACAATGGAGCAAACCTTTAAGATAGGCTGCATGAGTGTTACGATGACATGAAGCTAAAAGCAAACTGATTTAAAGCGATCCAAAGTGCATCTTGTCTTGTTTGAGAATTTACATACAGTATATTCAGCTGATTTAGACTGAAATCTCTGCAGAGTTTCCAGAAGCAAATACAGAATAGAAGACGGAAAGTTCATCCCAAATCCCCCAACCCTTCTCAGCTACTTTGACAAAGATACAGAGGTTCCAGGAGGCGAGACAGATGCTCCAAAGCAAAAAAAAAGTGCAGCACATAAGAAAACGAGCTTATATATGTGAGTAAAAAAGCCTGTAAGAGATAGAGAGGGAAGGAAAGAGAGAGAGAGGGAGAAAAGGGTGAGGAGCAATGGGATGAGAGGGCGAGAGGGGAGGATGCTGTGCCGATGGTTCATCAAAAATTAATGCCGACTGCATCGGTATAGAGATCACGTAGTGGAAAAACAACACATGCCAACAGCCTTGAGTCTCCTGCCTCAGCCCTCCCTCCCCCATTCCCCTTCTCCCCCTACTCTCCCTCTCCTTTACCCTCCACCCCTCCTTCGCACCAGCACAGGGCCTTTCTGATCAGGTGGAGGGGGGAGATATGAGCTCTGACACCTTCGAGAGTTCACACAGAGTGCCATGCCTCTAATTGCAGGAAGTTCCACCAGTGCAGCCCCTGTATATCTGCAGCGTGGCCCTAATTGCTGCATTTAATACCCTCAAAATGGAGATCTGAGGCGCACTGTGCGTACTAATATGTGGTACTGTTTTGTGTGAGGAAGCCATTATTTCTGCCCGCGCCATTTAATTATTCATCTGTATGAAAAGGTGAATAAGACATGTGGAAAAAAGAAAACAAACAGTGTGTGTCAGAAGCAAAAAAGAGGAACAATACAGAGGTGGTGATGCAGCCCAGAGTGTGTACGACAGGCCGGATTATGCAGCTGAGTCGGCCGCACAGCTGACTAGATAGAAGCACAGCCGGATGCAGATCAATCACTCTCTCTCCATACATTATGTGCTCTTCATTAAACTGAAAGTGATGACAGAGCTATCATGTCGCTCTTTACTGATGACCTAGTGCAGTGCATCAGTCCATTAAAAGTCTGCTCAGTGCAAATGTGCAGCCATATTTTTAAGGCATGTGCGCGTTAGAGAGTGTGTGTGTCTTTACCTGCTGCGTTGACTCTGTTTAAACCTCTCGGGATGTTCTCTTTTTCCAGCTTTGCTTCCTTCTCCAAAGAGCTCTCCGTGCTGCGCGAGGAGAGAGACATAAGGTCAAAAGGGTTATGGGAAAATATACATGTATGTTTTACACCTAATTAAATAAGAGATTATCCAGGATTCACGTAAACAAGTGTCAAAGATTCTGACCATTTCCGTGAAGAGGGAGGAGACCTGGTGCTCAAACAGGCGTCGCTGCGAAAAGTGCCATTAGCAAATGAATCCCTTTTGGCTCTGTATCATTCCATACGAAATCTGACAATATCTGTCAAACCCCTACTGTGTCGGCCACACACACACTTCACACATCCAACCCTGCATTCCCGTCTCTAAAGCACTTTTCCTCCCACTTAACGCCTCAAACGCACAGACGGAGAATTCGATGTGAGCAAGCACATTAGGAGGAATAACTAGTAAAAGAAAGTGAAGCCTCTTCAAAGTAGTGGCGTGCTAATAGCTGTGGGCTGTCACTAGTCCTGTGAGTGGGTATGGGAGATCTGCCTGCATGAAGCCTGACAGGTGTCTTCAGTGTATACGTGCGTGCGTGTGCGCGTGCGCCGCATGGAAGCGGAGTGCCATCCGTATAACAGGGAAGAGGCTTGTTCCCTGGTAATTGGCTTGTTCAGAAGCCAGGAAGGAGCTCCCAGCAGTGAGGAGGAAACACACGTCCTGTCACGTTGCTTGTTATTAGCAGGGACAAGGCTGCGAAAAGATGAGACGGGCCCTGTGTGTATATTTGAGTGTGTGTTTTTGAGGGAGTCCATCAGAGTGTCTTGGAAAAGGGCGTATCACTTCACCCGTGTGTCCCCTGTCCATATATTCTGCCAACAGTGGAGGATGACAGTACTTGGCTTTATACGCTGCGGTCTCTCTCTCCTGCACAGTATTCTTAGGAGGCCAGCTTGCTGTCAGCGGCCTAGAAATCAACTCTAGGCCTGGGGCAGTGTGTATCCTTGGAGACTTAATCTCCAGAAACTTGTTTGCGATAATAGAACTAATAAGAAAGTTTATGTTTAATGCCACAGCAGTGGAAGATCTGTGTGTTACATTTTGTAGCTGCTTTATTTTTCTACCAAAAGGGAAAAAAATACCCTGTACCTCAAATATGTCTTCATTTTTAAATTATTGTTACAGTTCATCGAGTCAAGGACTTTCCTTCAAGGAACTGTTAATTCAGTTTTGCTCAATTCTGGAGACTCCTCTGAAATAAGAAGTAAATCTCATCTCTCTTGTGTACATAAGCTTTTAGTATAACCAAGCTAACTCGATACTACTGTGACCGGCAGAAGTAACATTCACTTTAAGACTTTGCTGTCCTATTCTAATGGAGCAATGACAGGTATTTAGGACTGTAATCAACCAAGTTCTTGGTCGACTAAAACCCTGAAATTTTCGACCAGAGATCGACTAATTGGGGGGGTGTTCTGACTCTGACGACCAAACCCTTTTGTGGCGGGGGATGACACGGCTCGGCTGAGTGAAAATGTACTGATATTAACACAGGAAGGCAATTTAACACAAACGCAAACCACTGGACGCAGGGTTATTTTTTGTAGGATGGTAGGGAAAGGTCCCGCCCTCCTTCACCTCTGATTGGCTAGGAGTGCTGGGCTCCAATTGGTTATTTCTTATGGCTGTGAAATGTCATCATCTGTCCGGTTAGAGATAGGATTAGGGTCAGGGTTAGGAGATTCAGAGTTGCAATAATGTTCTGTAATGTTTTGTTCGATGTACAGAGCCGACTGCCCGCACGTGAGCGTGTGATGACGTTTCACAGCCAATCAGAGGTGAAGGAGGCGGGACCTTCCCCTACCATCATACGAAAAAAAATATCGCCCACTGGACATTGATTAACATGGACACTCTTGAATCTTCCTGTCTCCACTCTCCAGCCAGTCTCCAGTGGGTTGAGGGAATCCAAAATGGCGAAAAAAAGGGAAGTGTTCTGAGACAGGCTGTTGTTGTTGGCACTTGGTACGTTCCTCCTGATGAAATTAACCATAGACCGTAAATTGACGCGGAAAAAAATTGTGTCGACCAATCAGAATTTTGGTCGACTCGGCACATATCAACCAATAAGTTGACCAGTCGACTAGGACTTGACAGTCCTACTTTAAGTTTTACAGAAAGAGCCATTGTGTTTCTGATGTTCGGTTATTTTTTTAAAGAGGCATCAGAAATCGTTTCAGACAGTTTATTACCCGGTTGAAAAGCCCCTGAAGTATGTTTGAATTCAGCTGACACTGACTGTAAACTGGTCTGCTCAGAAGAGATGAAACCACAGTAATAACATCGTCAAATGGTTTGAAAAGATAAGCAACACACAGCACTTGATTAAGCCAGAAGGGAGGAAACCTCAATTTAATTACAGCTTCCCTTCTGCTAACAGCACTCGCTGCCACGCAGCCAGCCAGCAAGTCAAACGTTCATCTAAACAGTCAGTCAATCAGCCGGCCTGTCGCTTGGTATGTCCTGGACATGTGCCCTGATGATGCCAGCCTGGCTGTTTGTACGGAACAACACTGGCAATTGCTCATATATGACTACAGCAGCTTTACATCACAGTAAAGCAGCCTGATGCTTTCTGAGGAGCCAGAAATGAAAGATAAAGGGGTCATTTGGCTGCTCTCTGCCTTTATGAGCGGCTCTGGCAGCAAAACCCAAAGATTTTCCAGGATTTTGTCTTTGTGTTGTCAGAGGAAATGGAAGTGAAACAAATGAAAACCAAAACTTCTCCTTCAAAGTCAGATCAAAGTTAGGCTTGAAGACATCTAGTTCTTATCTTCTGGGGTAGTCTTTAACGTCCCACTCCGATTGTCTTTTATTTTGTTTTTTTTACTACTTACAGTGTTCTCAGAGGTCTTTCAATTGTGATTATGAAGTTTTTAGGCAAAACCACGTTACCTGTGTCATTTCAATTAGCTTTCTTATGAGCATTGCAATCTGCTAACGCACATGTTTGTTCCGCAAACATCCTCTCTACTTCTCAAAGTCTTGCCTGCATAGCGAGGCTCCGGGGGCGGAGCTTGGATTTGTGACGTAAGAAATCTCACTGTATCTGAGCCTGCTATTTGGGTCTGCCAGAGGTTCACAGGGATTTGAAAGCAGAAATATTTAGAAATAGAATTTTTCGCTTAGTTTTCTCATGATAGCATTAGAAAAATGCCATATGAACATGTAGACAACAAGAAAAATGTGATTTTTATCAGGGTGGGTCTTAAACTAATTATAAAACAGACACCACCGCTGCCACCTGGTCAAGTTAGCAGTTCCAGACTAAAAATAGCCCTTCAGGATGTCACTGATATTGACATTTTTAAAAGAAACAGACAAAAAGAAAAGATTTAGCACATTAGCTTCAATGTGTTTGAACTCCTGACCACAGTTAACAAAAAAGCTGACATCCATAATTATTAAACGGTTTCGATGAGTCATAGCTGCACCAAGAAAATAGAAAATGTACAGAAAAATGCTCCAAGATGACATGATGAGGGCAACTGACAAAATACTTCAACAAGCTTTAATTGATTAACAGTGTCAACATCGCTTAAAGTATGAACACTATCATGAATGTCACCATGAAACATGAAGAAACAAGATTCCCCTCCGCTCTCTGTCCTCGATTTCTCACAGGCATTGTCATTCTGATGCTATTCTTTCTTTCAGGGTCAAATGATTTTACACGCCCTTTGGCATTTCTTTATCTCATCCGCACAGATTGCGCTCCTTGTTTTACTCAGCTCCCTCTCGCGTCGCTGTCAAATTAAGCTGAACCCTTAAAACAGCATGAAGAGGCAGAAAGTAGAGATGGAGCGATGATGGAGAGCGGGGGAGAGCGGGATCTGGTCAGAGCGTGAACCAGTAGCCTTCACATGAACCTGCTCCCTTGTGACTCCTGCCCTTCTCCAGGCCAGCTACCTGCTGGTGGAGCAGCAGATGTCTGATATGGAGTTAAGTGTGTGTGTGTGTGTGTGTGTGTTTGTGTGTGTGTGATTGAAATCAAAGAGGGATTTAGTATGCGAGGGCAGCTCAAGAGAGGTGGAGAGGAGGGGCTGAAGGCTGAGAGCTGGTGGTCGTGAGGGGAGACACAAAGGCCTGATGGGATATCCTAGCCTGCCTATCCTGTCCAAGTTGGAGTCAGTGCTGTGATACAGGGAGTGTGTGTGTTCGTGTGTTTGTGTGTATGTGTATGGGGAGGGGTCTAACCTCCCTTTGCACTCCTCCTGTCAGCCAGCACACACTGATAGGATCAGACCTGGGCATGACCCATCACATGCCAACTCCTCACGCTCCGTCTGACCTCCATTTGCCTCCCTCCTTCTTTCCCCTCAGTCCTTTCATTCATGCATCTCTGCTCCTCACCCCTACTCACCCTTTCACCCCCCCCCCCCCCAACACACACACACACACGCACACTCATCCTCTCTCCAGGTGTTCCTTTGTTCCTTTTCACTCACGTTTCTCATCGTTTCTCATTCGTACATTTTCACCCATTTGGCCTCATGCTGTAAACCCTTCAGAAAGCAGGTTCAGTTTGTAAAATCTAACCACAAGCATGAATCCTGTTACCTTTTTGTTAAACGTCTAAACACTTTTAATTACCCTGTTCTTTTAAGAAAGGAACTTTTGGGCTAGTAAAAAACAGTGCAAGTTTTTTTAACCTTTGTTAACATGCAAATATAGAAACAAGGCAGACAGCAGTAGACCTGTAATGAACTGTGTGCACTCCATCAGAAATCCTCAGAAAACTACAATTCCCTATAGTAGTAAGATGTGGTAATTTTTCTGATTATTAAGAATGTAACAGAGAGAAACAGTTGTTTAGACTTATGTGTGTCTATGTGTGTGTGTGTTACTGACCTGCAGCTGCTCCCCTGGCTGGTGCATCCCTGAAAGTTGTGTCCTTTCCTGATTCCAGCATCGGTAGGACTGTGAGCTAAACACCCCAGAGCTATCAGGTAGGACACCATCTGTCAGAAATCACAAAAACAAACATACATACAAGGTTATACTTTGTCCTTACACTTTTTTACTGTAGTGTATCACTACTGGTTTTAGACAACATGATGAAAGAAGACTAAAGAACCGTGTTTATGCCATCTTTGCCATAATACAAAAGCACGGTGGAGTATATAGGACAATTAACTGGTGCGCCTATCAGAAATCTTTAAAGCAGCCTCAATAGTTTGTTTCATTCTCACTGCTCCTGACAAACATTTGTGCATCTGCGGTGTTGTCAGAATTTCCCAAACTTCCTCTGATATAAGAACAGGGCCAACTGCACTTTCCATAACCTTATTTTGCCCTCATGTCAAGCTATTGTGCACAATATCATTCAATGTCTTCACCTCCTACTGAACTATGCAGCAAATAACTGCTGTGACTTTAACAAGTCAGAGGTGTGTGCCTCAAATCACGACAAACCCTGTCAAGGGCAAAATGAAGACAGGACTGATAAAAGCTACGAGGTTTCCCACGGGTGCGTAATGGGAAACTGTGTGAAGAAGAGGAACTGAAAACACACACACACCATTTTCTTGAGAGAGAGGGTACCGTCTCCAACTGTGAATCCATTTCTACTGCAAAGATTCCTGAAAATGGCATCAGCCATCACCAACTTCAGTCTGGTAGAGCGAATCCTGCTGACTAGATCAGCCAGAAGTACTGCAGACACACCTGGAACACAAAAGAGAAAAAAATCCCTTCAGATACCTGAACTGAAATGATTTATATTCACCTAGATGAAAACAGAAAACAACTAAGTAGAAAACCATAATAAAAATTAAAACCATAAAAACAATTAAGTAGTAAGACAAAAAAAAAAATCAAAACACAAGTGAAGGAGTATGGGCAAAACGGCTAATTGTCCTGCTGAATTTGACGGAATTTCATTGCACTTTATACTTTTTTTTAGATCAAATTACCCACTAGTCTTTACAAAAGAGGATTAGGGCCACAATAAGAGAAAAAAATAGTAACAGGAGGGAGAATTTTAATTTCAATTTCAAAATTAAAGTCCGAGTTTAAAAAAGTCAAAATAAAAAAAAGTCAAAATTTCTAGATTAAAGTGGAAATTTTAAAATTAACAATGTCGAAATGTTGTAAATAATGTCAAAATTTCGAGAACAAAATATAAGATTAAAGTCGAAATTTCTAGATTAAAGTCGAAATTTTAAAAAGTTGTAATGAAAAAAGTCATTAATTTGAGATTAAAGTTGAAATTTCAAGATTACAAAATGTCAGGAATAAAATCGAAATTTTGACTTTAATCTCGAAATTTCGACTTTTTTATATTCCGACTTTAATCTCGAAATTTCAACTTTAATCTCAAAGGAAATAATAATTTAAAAAAAAACCTCCTGTTATTTTTTTCTCTCCTTGTAGCCCTTATCCTTTCATGTAAGTCATATCACAGAGAAACATCAATGAGCTGGAAAATGTGGGGTTTTTTTTTTGTTTTTTTTTCCTATTTAGCACTTTTTCTTGCATTCATACCCTGGCTGATGACTGCAAAGTGCTCTGCGAGGTCCTTTAGGCTCTTTTCCACCAGACTCTGGTTCAGCTTGAAGTGCTGCTGACACCAGAACTCCACCAACACAGACAGGAGCTCCAGCAGGGTGTGCAGCAAGCGTGGCTGCTGCTTCTTATCTCTGCCATTGTGGTCCTTTCGATCAAGACAGATAAAAATCACACTCCATCATCAGAACCTGGTCTTACTGGAAAGTTCACCGGAACGCTGCCATCAGATGAAAAGATCTACGTTAGAGCCCTGCGGTAATTACCTCATGTGCAGCCTGTAATAAGTGTTGGAGGAGTTGTTTAACAGCTTGGGACAACAGCGTGGAGCGTTCCCAAACAGTCCAGAAGGTTCCATAGAGCAAAAACCCTGACGATGAAGACTGAGAAAACCCAGTACCTTCAGGCAGAACTAAATCCCTGTGAGGAAGAGGCAAAGAGGAGTGACTAAAAATAAAAAAAAATATTAGAAGATCAATACAGAAATTATTTTTGAAAAGAAAATACTCGACAAACAATTAAAATATGATTAAACATATATAGAAAATCATCAAATAATAAAATAATACACTTCTTTTTCCCATGTTTGTTCCTATATTACCCAGTGGTCATGGAGTGGAGCTCCCCTTGGAAGACCTTGAGGAAAAATGCTACAATATCACTGTGGAAATGTAACAGTGTTGGCAGTGCAGGTCCAGGGAGCGGGTGGCAGGTGATCCCGGAGGAGAGACAGTAGCTGAAGAAATAAACACACAAAGAATCGATTAAAGAAAAGCAATTTTAACTCAACTTTCCATGCATGTCAAGAATGCTTGTTTAATTTTTAATGTGCATATTGCTCCTTAAGTAGAACTAAATGTAAATTTACCAGCAGGACTTAACAAGACTACATGACCTGACCAGATATCTTATGTGACTTTCAGCATACCTGATGGCAGTCTTTAAAAAAGACCATGGGCCTGACTTGCACCGAGGACACTGCAGCACCTGGTGTAAGTATTTCTTGACTGTGCATGGAGCCCGCCAGGGAGGATTGGTAATGAGCAGGTTATTTAAGACCTGCTGGAAGATCCTCAGAAAGACAGAGGTGGCGCTTCCCTGTCAAATAATCAACAGATAACAAACTTAATTATATGGTTTGGGTATTTAGACGATGGAATATTTTAGCGACAAGGTACATCAGATAGCAAAACTGGAAAGAAAACTGTAGTGAAGCTGGTTATACTGTACTTCAATGCAGACCCTGAGGCTTATGCAGCAGCAGGTGAAAATTCCTGCACTTTAGAAATTCTGGTCCTACCTGCTGTGCATAGTCTATGAGGGAGACCAGGTGAGCCGCTGGTGGCAGCACACCAGGGTACACAGCACTCCTGATGGAGTCCAAAGCTTCAATGAAGAGCCCACACTCTATCATACTACCAACATTGCTGAAGTCCGTCTCTATAGCCTGCGGGAAGAAAAGACCAACAATAAAAACCTTAGGGGTATGAGGAAAGGAGGGAAAACATTGCACTCAAAGAGACAGATGGGCGAAAGAAGGGGGGGAAAGTGAGGGCAAGAGGGTAATGGAAATAGGAAGTGAATGGGCAACAAAAGTTCCTGGGGTCACTTCTGACTGTCTGTTATTGGCAAATAGCATATGGATTCAGAAAGTACAGAATGGAAATACACGAGCACTTATAATAGCAATCTGATGGAGATCCACTTGGGTAAGGCGTGGACAGGATGGTGGTGAGTATTGTTAATAGGCCTGCCAATCAAAACTCTGCGATCAGCTGACAGTGCTGGTTAAATTGGTGACCTGCGTATGATGTGCCCTTGCTCTAAGTGCCACTTTCCATTGAAATATATGACATAAAGAAAATTGAATGACCTGATCTTCTTGATGAAACACATAGTTATTTTAGAGATGTATCAGAGGTGTGGGAGTGGGTGGGATATGTGCATGGATCTACCTGGGACTGTGGGCGGTTGGGGTCATGGAAGCCCAGAAATTCAAGGAAGTAGAGTCTTGGTCTACCCTGTAGCGAACAACCCCAGAAAAAATGTCAAAAATGTACTACATAGACAAAAAAAGATGAAGTTTGAATTATACTTTCACAAATTAACTGATGTAAAGTCAAAGTACCTCTTGTTTCACGGCGTAATCCCTAAGCTCGGTCTCTAGCTCAGAGAAGTCCGGGACCACAAACCCGGCCCTCCTCATCTCAGCTTGATGACCATCCTTCATGTCATAGAAATCCACATAATTGCTCTGACAAAGAAAAAGGAGTTTGCAGTATTAGATCTTCTATCAACTTTTGAAACAAAGTTCTCCACATTTAGAATAGCTGCTGTATACATTTTCTGGTAATTCACAGATTTTAGGAACCAGACAGAAGCATTAAAAGTCTTTTATTCTTAAGTGACGACTGCATATATTTCTATTGACCAAAATAACTCAACTAAATTCTGGTCCAGACCTGCACTTTGGGCACAGAGTGAGCATCATTCCTTTACATTACTACCTCTATGTGTCTATAATGCACTTTCTTTGTTTAGACAGCATAACAGCAATGCAATGGTGGGTTAATCCAGGCTAAATTATCCAGCAATCATCAAATATTTCATTGATCAACCGGAAATTAATCACTGAAAACTTTGCTAACAGAAGAATCCTCACACTGAATTACTGAGAAAATCTATTTGCTAAGATTTGTAACTTTTTATCATTTTGTAAATAAAATATTTGAGTTTCAGGAATTGTTTTTGACTGGATGATTAAACATTTAACTATCACATTAATCCAACTGTTCAAATATAAGAAAAAAGATCATTCTTCTTTGCCTTTAATGACATAAACTTACCCCAAAGAGGTGCTGAACAATGTAGCTCACAGGATAACAGGGAGCATCATGGGATTTTGAGTCTGCTGTGACAGGTTTAGCCATAACATGAGTGACAGTCGTACTAGGAGGAAGAGGGCAGCAGTAAACTTTGGCTCTTCCGGCTCTTAGCAGCCTGAAAAAAATCACAACATAAATTACTTTGTATTATTCTGTCAACAATTTTCCTGAAAGTATGATGAATATGGTCAGTGACTAATTTTTCTTGTGTTGCATCTCACCGTTTGAACATGGCCCAGCGAGTGGGCTCCTGAACCATAAGGAGGACCCTCCAGCCCTGGAAAGCCCCTGAAAGACGCCCACTGGACACCTTCTCCCTCCACTGCCTGACAGGATAGAAGACTGGTGTGGTGCTGGTAGAGATTGATATTTCATAGGCTTCCTCTGCCAGCCAGGAGCCTTTCTCCATACTGTCCAGAACATAGTCTGGTGTCACCACCCACTTTCCTGGAGGAAAAATTAAATAGATAAAAGTCTTGTGACAATTTTCAACAAAAGATGAACCCTTACTATACAAGCGTGATAAACAAATATTATTACTCAATAATTATCATCATCATTACTCACCTGCAGCACATGCAGCTAAAAACTTCTCACTGGACAAAACTGTAGGGATTATGAGATGGGTGCAGCCGCAGTGATACACCTTAAAAAATCAGAACTGCATCAGTCCATTGATATACAACTAAGATTATTTAGCATAATTTTTTTCCCAACAAGACCAGGTTATGTTGGTATACCAGTTTTATGTTTGATCAAATATATGTGAAATACTTGTGTAAAAGATGTAATTACCAGTAGGTATTTGAAGAAGAAGAAGAAGAAGAAGAAGAAGAAGAAGAAGAACAAGAAGAACAAGAACAAGAACAAGAACTTTATTGATCCCTAAAGGGAAATTTAATCAAACATCTGTCAAACAAGTTGCCAAAAGCATAGTAGTAAATTCGTCATGGTACTCACTGACAGACAATGATGAATGGAGGAATTTTGGTTACCCACAGACAAACTTTCTCTTAAGATTATCAAGAACACAAAGATAGCAAACCCCACGGTATGTTCTGACTCTACCACACAGAGCAGTTCACTAAAGAATTCAAAGACACAAAAATGCTGCAGGTTCCAATGATTTATTGTATTTCAGCATTACCACCTGAATCACTACAAATGTCTTTACAGTGATGATATATGAACTACATGTACTACTAAGTCCCATGATTGCAAATGGAACAGGAAAATCAGCGTTGTTGCTTTTCTTTCTAAACTGTGGTTACATTTTTTTTTTTCTACGTAATACTAGTGAGGGTAATTCATGAAATCACTGTATAATAAATTTCCCTTTGGGGATCAATGAAGGTCTTGAATTATTGTACTGTTTATCCCAGCTGCTACATAAAGTACCCCTTTCATCCCAATTATACAAGCTTATTTGAAAAAATGATGTATAGTCTTTGTTGACATGCACTGAAAAGTTTTCTTTTTTCAGGGGTGACTACTTACTGAGCCACCTATGTATCTTCCACCAAGCTGCTGGATCCCTTGGATCAAAACTCTTTTCCTGTCATGGTTTTTGATGCCAGAGATTTGAAAAACATGTGTGCAGTTCGCCATCCTAGAAATAAATAAAGAAGAAAAAAACAGGAAAAAATGACACACAAGTGAAAGTCAGTGTTGAATCTGTAAAAAATATAAATTATGTGATAAATAAACTCGCATAAGTGATCCTGCAATCCTCCCTATAGTGCATTCCTTAGAACAGGGGTGTCAAACTCAACCACAGCAGGGGCCATAATCTGGATTGCTTTTAAAGAGCAAATACATGAGGAGAATGTTGAAATCAGGTTTAAAAGCTCAAAATATGACTTAAAATCTAAGTCTAAATACTGAGTTGAACAAAATCAAAGCATGAAATAAAACACCAAATGTTCTTGACTATTTATCAAATCTTCCTTACTCTTTAATTTCCCAGATTTTCGTGGCTTATTAAGAACATTTTCATGGTGATAAAGTTTACATTATTATACTGGAGGAAATCTGCAGACTTCATACTGGTGGTCCAATAATAATACAAATATGATATGATCTTGTGGGCCAGATTTGGCCCCGGGGTCTTGAGTTTGACACCTGACTATTCTTTAGAATGACACATAATGTTGTTACCTGAGAACTCATATGCCAGTTTATGCCCGTTTGTTTCAATGCATACAAAAATAACACATCTACTTTTGGTTCTACTACATGCCATATGAATTTCCACTAAACTTGAGCTTTGACATTCTTAGTTTTAACAGAAGTACCTTAAATCTGCACTAAATTAATCAGCCCTACAGTGTATACCCAGCTGTGTGAGCTGACTTATCTTTGATCAGGTACCTTTGTCATTCCACCGATGATGGCTCTGTCCTGCTGCCAGATTTACACAGGACGCGCCAAAACGTTGACGTTGACTCAGAGTCTTTCACCCGCTATCAGAGTCCAACCCGTTTTCAAATACGTCCTCTGAGAATATTCTCGACCTTTTAAGCAGGTTTAATAGAAATGTTGCATGTAAATATTAATAACCACTGAAGTTTTGTCAGATCCTGCAGAGAGTTTACCGTCTAACTACCATGTGTTGACAACTACACGTCATATCTTAGTATTTCTACAAGGGGGGGATTGTGCTTGCTGTAAATCATTTTGTAACTATCTTAACGAGTAAAACCCCTTTATTGAAGATGTTAAGGTTAAACACCTTAATAGTATGATATTTAAGTTAAAAGTTTGCGCAATATTATAATACAGGGCACGCATTTTCGTTACTTTGAAACATACCTCCCCTTTTTGGTGAGTCAAATGGACTCGTCCTCAAAGCGGAAGTTTTCATACAGCTACTTCCAGGTTGTTGTCACGGACGCTATCCATCCCTGGAAATTACATTAACTGAACTACACGCTGCACCGACTGAAAAACGGAGATGTTTAACGATTATTTACAATTATAAGAGCGCGATTTGCTTCTTTGCGGTTGAATGTTATCGGTTACATTCATAAGTGCTTGAAATTCCTTACATAGACGGATGCCGGGAAAAGACTGAAGCTGACATGTGAAGGAACAAGTTAGGAGGAGAGAAGTCTGTGAGAGGTAAGATAAAACATGATTAATACGTGCTGTCACTCAAAGTTACAGTAGATTTATGCAACACATTGTGTGTTTTGGAAGAATGCACCACATGTGAATCAATCAGAGATCAATCAGAATCAACACGTCCTCTGCTGTGTGGGATCACCTTCTGTGGTCTTCTAATTCGTCTGGTCACGTGATCAGCCACAATAAGCAGGTCAATCACAGAGTCGTCCCTTCTTGCTGATGAGTAAAATTCAAGTCTGCTCCAGAAAAACTACTTTTAACAGCAGACTGGGTGGTGGGGGGCTGAGGGAGTAAGATAAGCTCCCAAAATTACACATAGTTATTTTTTCCAGACTTGCAATGTTCCAAGAGTTGCAATATGACCAACAGCATCTTTTGTCAGGAGTGCACTTTGTAGATAGTCCCTGCTTTTAGAAATATATGTGTGAGTATCTGTATGGATGTGACTGCATGTGAACGTGAGCATGTACCTGCGTGGATGTACCTGTGTGGGAGTGACCTCTGTGAGAGTGAGTGGGAGTGTCTCTCTAATTGCAGGATGCCCAGCACCTGCAGCTGCTGCTGCAATAAAGGGAGCAGAGGACATGCGGCTCACTCTGTCATTCTCAGCCAGAGTGACATTCTGCAGTGAAGCAGCAGCAGCCTTAGTGTGATTTTCTCAATAGTGATTGGAAAAGTGATTTATCTTTGTTTAGACAGAGTGTTGTCTCTTTTATTTCCCTTTGGTGAGTTTTATAGCTGTCACCTGTTATTGGTAGTTGTCCTGTTTTTGAGAGGATCGCTTTGTGTTATAATTATTATCGTCCTTAGTTCTGTGAGGATTGTTTTCATGTTGTTTTACGTTTGTGGTAGTGCTGACCTAAGTTTCATTAATAAAATACTTGAGTTATTGCATATTCTTGCCATTCTCTTTTTATTCCCATCCTTACCTGTTTTTTCAATTGCTATTTTTGTCAGTCCTGAGTAACCCTAGCCTATCAGGACCTAACAATTGGGGGCTCATCCGGGATTTGAACTCAGGACCTCTCACACAAGTCATGGCTGGCTGTGTGGGGAGGATTGCTATCAAAGAGCCAAAAACAAGGACTGAATTGCTGCTATTGATAAAATGGCTGAAGATGCAGCACATAAATTTTTATTGATACTTTTCTTTAAACAAGATGCAAGATGTGTTTCAGGTTACTCATGTAGAAAATTTGTTTTGAAATGTTTTTGAAAAAGTTATTGGTATCTGTCAGTTTAATATTGCCTGAATTGAAAAAATAAGATGGAGATTCACTAACAGTTGAGTTACTGGCATCATCCAATCACCTGGCTGATGGTTGATGGAAAGCTTGTATGATTGAAATTAACTTTTAATAAATAGCTTAAAATATATTGAACCCAAGTGAAGAACTTTATGCAGAAAAAAGTTAGATCAAAGAAAAAGATTTTTTTTTAACTAATCAAAAAACTTTAAGTACAAAAGCTGTTAAATTGTAGAAATGTGAGTCAATATACTTAACCTAGTCCCTCTAAACCTGCAGTCACTACCAGTGTCCTCAAAGACTCCCAGTATAAAATTAAAATATTTAGACTATGAGTGGAACTCATTCCAGATACCTCTTGGATCAACTATTTTCACTGTTACATTATTGTTTGTTAAATCAGTCTCTTGTTTTCTTTTTTAGTAATATATAACATAAAAAAACATGAAAAGCATCAAAGTTGACACTTAGAAAATAAAATAAAATGTTCCCCAAATGAGAATCAAAAATGTACTTTTATGCTCTTGTCATGAAAAATTTGTGAAACGTGATGGTTTGCTCCTCTTTTCAGCTACCTGTCTAATATATAGTATCATCATTGGAAATGCACTGGTTTGTCTTTTAAACCCGGGGCTTCACTAAAACATGAATCAACTCAGTTTTTTCTTAAGACTCTGGTGAATTGGGAAATATACTCTTCATCATTTGCTGCCATTTTTCAGACTAGAACACAAGAGGATTATTGGTGATGCTAACTGTGGGTTGCAGCTTTTATTTATCGTTCCATTGTGTAACGCATCAACGAGTTGATTTTTTTCTGTTACGCAGTTATCACATATGACTTTGCAACTTTATGTAGATAACGTTGTAGTGTATGTAAGTCCTCTTAGAGTGCTTATGCATTTTCAGGACAAGAAACCCTGAAATATTGACACTTGGGATGCAGTATTTTACACCATATGACATCAGTATTGAGTTGTTTTTCCAGAGTTGTAATTGATTCATTGCTCAGGGTTGTCTAATGCCGCTGAATGAAGATGATAACTCCAAAGAACACGGCAATGACAAGCAGTATCAGTATTACAGTCATGTATTATTCATTCCCTCAGTGTAGGATATGTAATCACTGTGGCATTTGTTATGAGGATAGTAAGTAGTTACACAGTCCTACACAACATGTTTTAGAAAGATATCATCGCCACATATTTCCCTGTAGTATAGACAGAAAGTGACCTTTATGATTTAACAAGAGTAAAGCGAGTATTAAATTGAGCTGAATAGTCTCTGTATCAAATCTGATGAGGCTTAGGCTCAACATTTAATAGACAGGAATTATTGCGCCAAAGAAAATCAGTCAGTACAGTGCTGCAGAAGTGCATGTTTGCACAGTTACAGCAAAGACAGGCTCCCCTGTGGGCATGCATGAGATAGTTTGCGGCTGTATTGTGATCTTAGTATATGCACCTATTTAATTTATTATGTTTCCTCTACAGCAGACTGTTAGGTACCCATTTTAAAATAATGTTGACTTTAACTTGACATGCTCTAAGTGGCTTTAAAGCGGTGGCCTGGGGGACACACTGCTAAATATTTCAGGACAAACTCATTACTGTAAATGGGCCTGTGTGTTAGCCTAGCTGGGGTAGACAGGCAGCGGCAAGAGAGCGAAGACAGTGACGTGTGTGTGCAAATGTGTGTGAGAGGATGTGTTTCTTCTCCTGTCCTAATAGATGTAGAGTGGATGTCTCAGTGCCTGGCCCAGTTGTCCCTGTTGCAACACTGTGAAACTCACAGGGGCTCCTCCAACATCTGCTTTGTAAAGAGCTAATGACAAGACAATGGAGACCTGATGATTTAAAGTCTAGTACTAATGAGGCCCTGTGTGCTGCTAGGAGAATCCAGCACACACACATCCACTCACATGTATACACTCACACTTAAGATAACAGATGATGTCTTGGCAGACCAGGAGGTAGACACCCAGTAGACATACAGTGTACACATTCAGACCTGCTGTCCATCTGCTTTGTCTGTCTTTCATACACATAAAGAGAGGTATAAACAGACACTTTTCAGAATCACATGTCTGCTTCAGCCCATATAATTACAATGCTGAGTCCCTAATCCATGGATTTAAAATCTTCTTTCCTTTCGGCAGTGGCTGCCTTCTCAAACAGTGGCACAGAGGGAGCGTGATGATGAGGGGAAACAGTAAGAGAGAAGAAGAAGAGAGGCAGAAATAATAAAGGACAAGCTTAACTGGTGAGGCTGTCAGTGGAGGAAAATAATATTTGTCCAGCTGGACAGGCCTCCCTTTGTGCAGGCTAAATGAATGTTGAGCTTCCTGTCTGCCCTGTCAGGGAGAGTGGCACAGAGTGTGTGCAGCGGCGGAGAAGCGGGGCGCAGTGCGGGGAGCTGTTTGGAGTTTGACAGGGATTATTAAAATCAGAGCAGATGACGAGGAAAAGGGGCGAGAGGCGGAGGAGTGTGAGAAAGCCAAATTGACACAGACACTCTCCATTACCTTCCACTTGACTCGCGTTGATGACAATGTTGATATGAGACCCAGCAACGCGGCACCGGCGTGGGATTGGCTGTTAGCATGAGCGTTAAGCACCACAGGGTAGGGGGGGCAGCCCCTCAGTCGTGGCATAGACGTAAGGAGATGAGTTGTTTATTTAAAGCCTTGACTGAAGAGCATCTCACCTCATTGTTTATTTATTTGCTCTATTTTTTCTGTGTTAACTCACTGTAGTGTCAGGAGGTGGAAATGCTGAGAGGCAATGCATTTTGATCAGGGGGTCTGAGGGAAGGAAGTGCTTTTGTTGATGATAAGCTTCTTTATTTGCAGGTGTTTCAGGTGCAATTGATTTGTGTCCCCTAATAAGACTTTTGTTTGAGGAAATTTCAAATTACTTAAATCTGCAGGCTTGTGTATGTTTGTTTGTTGGGTTTGTGCATGGTGTGTGTTTAGTTTCTTGACAGACAGCTGGGATAATAAAACCCTCCAGATCTCTGTTATTTGATGTCACCAGTAATTGTTGATTTAATCCTGACACCTCTTTCTCATTTCTTTCTTTTATGAGCTTGAACATGTCATGTGTAGTGTTTCTAATTTTATGCAGTCAGGTCACCTCTCTCTCTCTCTCTTTTTTCCCCCTCTCTCTTGCAGGGTAGCATGGAGTGGCCGGGGGACTTTCCTGAAGATCATGCCTTTGTGGAGCTGCTTGTTCCAGGGGTTTCCAGTGAGTCGGAC